TTTGATCTTTTAGAGCTGTTAATACCTCATTGTTAAATCAACAGAAAACAAAACACTTTGATCCTTTAGAGCTGTTAATACCTCATTGTTAAATCAACAGAACACAAAACACTTTGATCTTTTAGAGCTGTTAACACCTTATTCTTTATCTAATCAATCAACAGAACACAAAACACTTTGATCTTTAGAGGTGTTAATACCTCATTGTTAAATCAACAATCAACAGAACACAAAACACTTTGATCTTTTAAAGGTGTTAATACCTCATTGTTAAATCAACAATCAACAGAACACAAAACATTTTGATCTTTTAAAGGTGTTAAAACCTTATTGTTAAATCAACAATCAACAGAAAACACTTTGATCTTTTAGAGCTGTTAATACGTTATTGTTAAATAATCAATCAACAGAACACAAAACACTTTGATCTTTTAGAGGTGTTAATTCCTCATTGTTAAATAATCAATCAACAGAACACAAAACACTTTGATCTTTTAGAGGTGTTAATTCCTCATTGTTAAATAATCAATCAACAGAACACAAAACACTGATCTTTTAGAGGTGTTAATACCTTATTGTTAAATCCTCAGGCTAAATCTACAATTACAAGCACTTATTCACGGCTTACGAGCTCATAAATGAACTCGTGTTTTTAAACTGTATGTAATGTTGAAGAGTACGGTTACGTAAACGTTCTCAAAGAAATCCCTTTTATATTGCGAAAAATAAAGGCACTTAAATTATTCAAAGACTAAGTAATTTTAGCTGTTCTTGATTTCAGGAGTTATTCTATAGGGAATCGCTTTCAGGTTCTTATTATTCAAACAGCGAAGAACGAGACAAGCTTGGGTGTGTATCCACTTGAGATAATCAGTGCTGAAATATACGTATTCTGTAATATTGCTCACATTCATCCCACCTAGCCTTTCAAGACGCGAGTAAACATTATCAAAATGCAGCACAGTAGTGAGTAAGCATGATTAAGTAACGTTATCATACGAGTAAAGATTATTTAACTCATGGCTGTTTAGGTTTACGTGTTGTTTACTTTTGTTTTAAAGCACAATGCTCCACAATGGGCTGTCTCTGCTGTGCCTACCGCGGCCATTGAAACACCATTTTTAGTCTCGTGTGCTCTCAAGGTAACCGCTGAGCCACCAGAGGGCAGGTTTATGTGACTTAAAAGCGAAACGTATTTTGACGATATTACTAAAATACGTTACAAGGACAGCATGGACTACATATATTGGTTATTGATCGTCTAATCACGATCTAGCTAGCGCATTATATGTGGGGTTTTTGTTTGTAGAAATTATACTACACATGTTTATCAGTGATGCCCCCTAATGGAATAGCGATAGCTCTCCTGGCGTATAACTCTAAAACTATAAACCGCGTTTTATACCCATGGTGTTCACAGACTTGATTTTCGTGTTGTTGTTTTTTTTCTTCAGGTCTTCTCAAGGATTACCTTCGTGAACTTCCTGAACCGGTCTTCACAAAAGGTTTATTTGACATGTTAGTAGACGGTATTAGCGTGTGTCTCCCTGACGATCCTGAGGGTAATTCCAAGTTAATGTTCAGTATACTCGACTGTCTACCGAAGGTCAACAGGGTAAGAATTGGTGGCGAGCAAAGTTATGGTGTCGTGAATTCATTTTCACGAAATTAACTCATTGAAATATCTAGCTTAAGATACCCAACAATTATATAAAAGACAATGTTTGATAATATTTCCCCTTTCTTTCTTTTTGTTATTAACTCCCCAAAGACTTCAATAGATGTTAATTGCACACCTTGTTTTGTGGAAGGTAATAATTGACTCATTCAACTGATTAACTACTTATGTCTTTAAATACAAACCCAAAAGTCTATTAAAAAACTGGGAATGTGCCCACCTACACCGTTAAACAGTTTCTAGTTACCATACCAAAGATACGGTAGTCCAGCCGGCTAACATTCGCACACAAACATATACAATGTATTATCTGTATAGTAAAATACATTGTTTACTACAGCACATGAACCATAAACTAGGCCTAGAAGGTAAGGTTTGGTAAGGAATATTAGACCAGTCGCTGAACAACAACAACGTTTATGTTTGGTAAGGAATATTAGACCAGTCACTGAACAGCAACAAAGTTTAGGTTTGGTAAGGAATATTAGACCAGTCACTGAACAGCAACAAAGTTTAGGTTTGGCAAGGAATATTAGACCAGTCACTGAAGAACAACAAAGTTTAGGTTTGGCAAGGAATATTAGACCAGTCACTGAAGAACAACAAAGTTTAGGTTTGGCAAGAAATATTAGACCAGTCACTGAACAACAACAAAGTTTAGGTTTGGCAAGGAATATTAGACCAGTCATTGAACAACAACAAAGTTTAGGTTTGGCAAGGAATATTAGACCAGTCATTGAACAACAATAAAGTTTAGGTTTGGCAAGGAATATTAGACCAGTCACTGAACAGCAACAAAGTTTAGGTTTGGCAAGAAATATTAGACCAGTCACTGAACAGCAAAAACCTTTAAACTTCAGCAAGCTGGAACCATATAATTGTTGATTTTATTACATAAGATTGTGTTTTTTTTTATTTCAAAGGAGAAAATAACTTGTAATATACTATAACGTAAGAGCCAATTTTTTATAAGTAGCTTTGGACCTACCTAAATAACTGTTCTCATTTGTTACATTTTAAAGAGTTTATACTATTCACAAGTGTCTGATACAATAATGATAAACAGTTAATTTTTAAGTTTTTGTCGAAAGTTGTAAACCACTTTTAAACCTGCGAAGAAGCATAATAGTCAGGACTTGCTGTTCACTTAATACTAACTACGTAGGTGGTGGGTGTTTCTTACTGGTTGACGTTCTTTTGGTCAGCAGTTCTAAACTAGTGACGACTAATCGTAAAGCTCTAACTAGGTCATTTAGCCCAATTATCATGCAAGTTATTGTTCGGATTGAAAGTATCAAATAAATGATGTTTTTTTTTTATTTGGCTGATCTTTTCTTGGTGACAGTTCATTTGAAAAGAAAACCACCTACAGACACCCAATATTAATGAATGTTGTTAATATAAGGAAAACTGTAGAACGTCAGTATTTTGTTTTGAAATTTTTGACTACTGTATATATATATATATATATGTATAATGATGTTGATACTATATAGTCTGACGAAGTTATTTAATATTTGAGTTACCTACACAGTGAAATCAGACCAATCAGTTCTAAATAGATGAAATTGAAATGGCTTAAATGTGATAATTAATATGTAAATTAGTCTATCTTATAATATGTATTTATTTTTACTTTTATTAACAGTATTGGTTGCACCGTTTAATAAGTCAAATATCATAAGATTTTAGATTTATTGTTTATTATTTTTATTATGAAGATTGTTTTTTTATTTCTAGCTTGATATGTTTATTTAGGAATAACCTAAATATGTTAAGCTGGCCATATACTATGTTATTTATTTATTGTTATTCTCATAAACTGGGTTGGTTATACTATTATTATGGATATTGTTTTGCATTGTTAACTTAATGTATTTATTTAGAACTAACCTAAATCTCCTAAGCTGGTCGAACCCCCAGAGATATTATTGGGATTATGGCTGAAAACGTCGTTAACAGCGAGGTTATTCCTATTAATGAGACAGTATATTAAATATTAGATATAATGATGACCAGGTTCTTGTTTAGTTTCGCTTTTAAGTACTCAGCTTATTTGATCGGAAGTAAATATCATACACACACACACACATATACATATATATTGTTTTCCAATTAACTTCCTAAAAATCCTCAGCATCCCAATAAGAAGAGCCTACACTTTTCTTGAAGACCAATGATTATTTTTGGAAATATGTTTTTTTTTGTTCAGTTTCTGAACTTTGCACACTAAGATCACGAGAGGTTTTGTGTGTTATTGAAAGTAAATCTGATATTCAGATAGAGTCATGAATGAATTGAGGCTTCTGTGTTAGTATGAAAATAAATTTTTAAAAGCGATAATCAATATATCAAATGAAATAATTAAGTATCATTTTCAGGCCTTTTTCACCTTTTTTTAATTTCTTAGTGTACAGTGCTTTGTTTAATGGACCATTTGAAGCAAGTGGTCAGTCACAGTGATCAGAATAAGATGACCTCCCAGAATGTAGCAGTCTCTTTCGGGCCAATTGTCATGTGTCACATAACACCAAGAGAAAGAAGTCTTGAGTTACGAAAGTCTATCGACGTGTTCCGGTATCTTCTGGATATGTGGCCTACCAACAGAGGTCTGTACTTGTAGTTTTACTTGAAAAGTTTTTTTGGTGTACAAAACTTGAAGATAGCTTTTAAATGCGGAAACACCTGTTAGCTGAGTTCTTGCACAGATATTAAAATATAACGTTGATAAATGGAAACATCGGCTCATGTAGATACGTAGATCTTGAAAGTCGACTTGTTCAAAACTTGAAGATAGCTCTGATAAACGGAAACACCTGTTAGCTGAGTTCTTGCACAGATATTAAAAT